CGGGTTGACGGGCGACGGCGAGCGAGTGGGGCCGCCAACGACGGAAGAGGTGCCGCTGCGCTGGCCGCTGCGCATCTGCAGCCCACGGTGCCGCGGAGTACGGCTCAGCGCTGTCAAACTCAGCGGTTGTGGCGCCGGTAGCGCTGGCGGGAGGCCAGCGACGCTGTACTGTGCCACGAACTTGGACTCCACATTGTTGATGGCAGCTCGTGACTGCTGCTGTTGCTGCTGCTGGTGGCGGGCCATGGCCTCCGTGATGGTACTCGTGGCGGGGCCTGGAGAGACCGCAGTGCTCGACGAGTGTTGCGGCTTCACTGCGCAGCGCTGCTCCGCAAAGGCCGCAGTGACGCGCAGCTGCGGCGAGACGCTCTCCACCTTGATCGAGTGCGATGCCGCTTTGGAGTACGAGGAGCCATCGACGGCAGAAACGGCCACACGATCGGCCGCTGTCATGCTCGGCGTGCGCGGGGTTCGTCGCTTGCGACGAATTGCGGGCGAGGAGCTGTCGGTGACGTCACGCTCATGCTTCGCCAGCACCATGCGGGTGACGAATACACCGCTCTCGCCATCGTCATTGTTATGGCGGTTTGTGTTGCCGTGGCTGTCCTGAGGGGGCGGGGCAACGGTCTGTCTTCTGGCACTGCTGGGCGCCAGGGGATTTCTTCTATTGACTGGCGTGTGCACAGAGGACAGTCGCCACGCTGTGCTGCCATTGTTATTATTACTGTTGCCGCTGTTTATTACCTGCTCGTACTGCTGCGCTGCAGCAATGAGGCGATGCCCGCTCATGAGCCGCTGCAGCGCCTCCTGCTGTGCTGCTGCCCGCGACTGCAGCTCCACTTCGTGATGGTGCTGCAGCTCCGCGAGCTCGAGGCTGTGCTTCGCCCCCGCGTTGTCGAGCGCCCGCTTCTGCTCCTCCACGACGCCCGTCAACTGCTCTACACGGCGTGCGAGGCGCGCCACCTCCTTCTCCAGCAGCCCCACACGCGGCACCGCCTCGGCGGCCTCGCGCGTCTTTTGCTGCAGCTCCTCCTCGAGGCGGTTGCAGCGTGCCGCCAGCTGCTCGTACCGCTGCAGCGAAACGCCGTCGTGTGAACTCACCGCATCGACGTGGTGCGCCTGC